TAAGATTGTTTCTAATCTAAATAAAAAAGAAAAAACTTAACATACCTTAATTCACTAAGAAGGTAATGGTCAGCTAAAAATATTGAATAACAGAAAATGAAAAATGAATTAATATGGAGCTTCATAACTGAAAAGTTCACCATACTAGTACTTACAGCAGACATTTCTCTTTGAATAGTACTTTCCTCTTGGTTTATTGGCTGTATTTTCTGTGCCTATAAAGAACCTTGGCTCTTTGGAAGAAGGATATGTTAATAGTGGTTAGATATTTTTTATAGTCCCTGCAAGGGTTGTTCAGAGTTAGCTCATAGACCCCAGGCTGATAGCTGGAAAACCAGCATAGGACTGATCCAGACCCCCTGAACCTGGGTGTCAGTTAGGAGGTCTGGACAATCTATGGGGCCTCTGCTAGTGGATCAGTATTTACCCTTAATATACGAATGTACTTTGGGATCCCATCCACATAGAGGGTTACTCTCTCAGCCTAGGCCCTGCTCCAAATGATATGACAGACTATGAAGATCCCCCATGGAAGGCCTCAAGCTCCCTGGGAAGCAGAAAGGGGATGGGACAAGGGGTTGGAGGAGAAGGAGAGGGAACTGGGATTGACATGTAAAACAAGCTGCTTTCTAATTTAAATAAAAAGAATCACTGTACTTAGGGAATTGGACAGTGAACAAGACAGCTTGAGCAGTGGAGTTTTGAATGTTAGTTAGTGCTTGGTGGTCACCCACTGCCTCAAGGTGGCATCAAATATAAAGTGAAGGAGTCCAAAAAATTGAGATTAGCAGGAGTCAGATTGGGTCTTCAACCTGAAGAACACTGTACTAAATTCCATCACAATGTAAAAGCTAAAATCTCTTTGAGGTGGGAATTATGAGATACTAATTCTTACTTGAGGATAAGTCGTGTATCTTTTTATTCACAGTTTTCTACATAACAATATTTTGTATTTTTGGCTGTGAAAAATGTGTTTCTTAAATACTTGTTTTTTTTTTAAATCAACTTTATTCTTCCCTTCCCACATTTCTCAAGGCACCTAAGGAAGTGTATTACATCACTCAGTACAAAACACACAGATGAAAAGGTATGAAATATCTCTTTCATTTAATAATTTTGTATATTTTTATCTCAGAATCCAATAACATAAAATGTAAAGTGAGCCTAGAATCAATATTTACTTGAGGCAATTTTGTTATCATATACTTCCAATGAATATCAAATTAAAGTGCATCAGTATTTACATAAAAACAAAAAATCCAATGCTGTGGAGTATTCCTTTATACTATGTGAATGCATGATGCTGTGGTTGGTTTAATAAACAAGCTCACTGGCCAATAGCTGAACAGGATGCAGTTAGGCAGGAAAGCCAAACTGACAATGATGGAATGAGGAAGGACAGAGTCAGATGCAGAGAGCAATGTTGGCATGCCATACTGAGAAAAGCTACCAAGTGGCTAAACATAGATCGATAGAAATTGGTTCATTTAAATGTAAGAATTATCTAGTAACAAGCCTGATCTATTAGCCAAGCATTTACAAATAATATAATCCTCTATGTGGTAATTTGGGAAGAGGCTGCCAGGTATTTGAGACCAGGTGGTTAGGAAAGAAACATCTGACTAAAATCCAAATTTACTCCTTTAAATTTGTGTGTAATGAATGGCTCATTTTCATTTGAGATAATGGTCCCTGGGGATTTGGATTCACTTTTGAATCATGAAACTCTTCAGAGACTTACTTTCAATAATAACTGTGGGAGACAGCTAGGACGATATAAAACCATGCTATAATTATCTTGTCTTTCTACTTTAGAATGAATCCTTATTTCAAAAGGTGAGTGTAAAGAATTTCCCCTGCCTTTAGTGAATATATTTAGTGAATACATACATACATACACACACATATACATAAGCTGTCATGAAAAACAAGTCAGGTATAATCAAGAAAAAATTAGCATGATTTATATTTTCATAGTCAAATTCCTGTGAATTTGATATAGATATATATAGAACTTACTTTCTTATTTATCCATACACTGAGAAGTCTGGGAACCCACATAGTTTCTATGGCATATAAATTTAAAACTCAAGAACAACTGCAAATTATTTCACTAGCTTTGACACTGGTGATTTCCTGACAAATATCTCATGGAAAGACATGCATTGTTTACTGACTGAATGCTATAGGGTCACAGTCTCTAGGCACTGTGAACAAACACAAAAATATAAGGTAAAAAATCTCAAGACATGAGAGTCAGCCTGCTCCTAGATGGGGAACCTGGGTAAACTTAATATTCCAGGTTGAATATTTACCTGTGTACTTTGTAAGCAATGACATTATTTCATTCTGTAGTACTCCAGCTAGAAAACATCATTATGTTAGTGGAGGATTTGGTATGTGTGTGAATAAGTACTTACTAATATTATTAGAAAAAGTATTCACATATTTATATGTGATTAATGATAAGGTAATGGTCTAATTAGTAAATATTTAAAGTATTTAATAAATTTATAGTAGGTTCCTTATTTATAATTTTAGTTCTTCTAAGAAATTTTATTCCTTACTATAGGGTCTTTTAACAATGGGGAAATAATTGGTTTAAGGATATAAAACTTCAGTTGGACAAGAGGCATGGACTCTGTGAGGTCTTGAGGCCTACTGAGAGCATGATAAATATGGTTGATAACAATATGCTATATTTTAAAAGTTGTGAGATAGTATACTTTAAGTGTTCTCAAAACAAAAAATGATGAATATGTGTGATATAACATGTTAACTGGTTTAATTTAGCCATGCCATTGTGAACATACTGTATTGTGTATCATAATTGTGCATGACTTTATTTATGAGCTAAACAAATGAATGAAAAAATTAGTCTTACTGCTATCAGGTAGCTGACAGAATTGATGACCAATGCCTCTAACAACAGACTTTCTGTTTGAAAAGCTGACCTGCTGTCTCTCCCAAATTAGCATATGCTCCTCACTTTAGTGTCACTCTTCAATCATTGTGTAATAAGAGTATACTAAATTCACTTTGCCTATACTTAGTGTCCCATTCTAGTGCTTCTTATGTAACAGTAGGTTATGTTATGTTCTTACTTAGCATTTTCAAATTGCTATAAAACTGAATCAATAAGCATCTTAATATTGTTCCATGGAAATAGAATGCCATATATTACATTAAATTCAGTGCAATTAATTTGGAAATGATTTTTAAAGGTCATAAATTACTTAAAACCACTACAAATTTTACACTTGTAAAATTTATTTTTTCTTGTACATAGGATAACTGGTTTATTATTTTCATAAACCTCACTCACACTAACATCCTTAGTTTTAAATCCACAGATACACTTTATTATATACATTAAATGTAAGTGAAAGATACATTAAAGAAGATTCCTAACATTTCATTTTGAAATTGATGAGAGATTCAATACATATGAATATATAAACACTGAGTAACCAATGTAACACCCAATATATATTTTGAATGATATATTTTTTAACTTTTTATTGATTCCTAGTGAATTTCACATCATACATCCCAATCCCACTTATCTTCCTGCCTTCCCCCCGCCTGCTTTCTTTCTCTGCTCTTGCAACCTGCCTCCCAAAACAACTCTAAAACTGAAACCTAAAAGCCAAAAAACACCAGATAAACAAGAAAACAAATAATGAATTAAAAAAATCTTGGTACGGAAGTGCTAGTGTGTCAGTGAGTCACACAGTATATCCTTTAGCCTATACATCTTTCTTGTAAGTGTTCATTGTAATGAGTCATTGGTCTAGTTTGAGGCCTCTGGTTTCTACTACACCCTCAATATTGGCCCCTCACTGGGACTCCTCTTGGATGTACTATTGTTGCCTTGAGTCATGGATATCCTGTAGCTTTGGATCTGCATGTCTGGCCTCTTCACATGCTCTAGCAGTTCATAGATGAGTTGAATGTTGGGGTGGGATACCTCATATTCCTGCTTCTGGGTTGGAGTGGTAGCTGGGTTGGCCAGACTTCCAGCTTTCCATCATCATCACCAACCAGGTGAGTTCTCCAGCATTTTCCAGGCTAGCTCCCACAATGTATCAGGTGTCAAGGAGAGGTACCAGTTCTCTTGCTCTCACAACACCAGGGCTAGTTCTACTTTTTGCCCAGGTGAGGTACAGGTCCAGCTTTTCCGTTCTCAGGTCCCTGGGGTCAACTCTCCTTCCTTTCACAGGTGGCAAGTGGTAGGAGAAGGCATATTTCCCTTACCCATGCCATCCCATGGAATACAAGGGAGGGAAGCTGTGCTTGTCATCTAGAGTCTGCAAAACATAGAACCCAGATCTTTGTGGGTGAAATTCTTCCTGCCCAGTTCTAGAGAGAGGACAGAGTTGTGTTTGTCCTCCTGAGTCTATCAGGCTTAGAAATGTGCAGTGGTTCATGAGTGAAATTCTTCCCACCAATATATTCTTTTGTAATGATATATATATATATATATATATATATGTGTGTGTGTGTGTGTGTGTGTGTGTGTGTGTGTGTGTGTGTGTGTGTGTGTTAATAAAAATGCAGACACACATTTATAAATCTCTTCCTGTAATGCTTCTATCACAGTTTTTATTTGGTAGCAGCTACAGTGTCCCATGGCTTTCCTGGAGGATGGGAACAACACTGCAGTGACAGAGTTCATTTTATTGGGATTGACAGATGACCCGGTCCTTAGAGTTGTCCTCTTCATTTTAAACATGTGCATCTACCTGGTGACTGTGACTGGGAACCTCAGCACCATCCTTCTCATCAGAGTTTCTCCCAAGCTCCATCATGCCATGTACTTTTTTCTCAGTCACTTGGCTACTGTTGACATAGGCATCTCATCTTCTGTCACACCCAATATGCTTGTCAACTTCCTGGTAAAGAAAAACACCATCTCCTACCTTGGATGTGGAATCCAGCTCAGCTCAGCAGCTTTCTTTGGGGCATCTGAATGCTTCCTTCTGGCTGCCATGGCTTATGATCGCTTTATGGCAATCTGCAACCCACTGCTTTATTCAATCAAAATGTCCTCACAAGTCTGTGTCCAGTTGATTTTGGGATCTTATATAGGGGGTATTCTTAATGCTTCATCCTTTATTTTTTGCTTCTTTTGTCTTCCCTTTTGTGGAGAAAATCGAGTCAATGACTTTTTCTGTGATTTTGCTTCATTGGTGGAACTCTCCTGTTCTGATGTCAGTGTCTCTGCAGTTGTTATCTCATTTTCAGCTGGATCAGTCACTATGATCACAGTGTTTGTCATAGCTGTCTCTTATTCCTATATCCTTATTACTATTCTGAAGATGCACTCCACTGAGGGCTGCCACAAGGCCTTCTCCACCTGTACCTCTCACCTCACTGCAGTCATACTGTTCTATGGGACTGTTACATTCATCTATGTGATGCCCAAGTCCAGCTACTCAATGGATCAGAACAAGGTGGTGTCTGTATTCTACATGGTAGTGGTTCCCATGTTGAACCCCCTCATTTACAGCCTTAAGAATAAAGAGATTAAGGGTGCTCTGAAGAGACAGCTTAGTAAGAAAATACTTTCTTAGATGTGTCTCCTAATCCATTATGTTGTCACATGCTGTGCAGTAATGATACGTCATATATAGTGTATTAAATGGAAAATGGGTATTGATTGGTGAAATAAATGTTATGATATAAATTTCACCAGACTTGGAATTTTGTAGTAAAGGTACAGTGTGAGTATTTACAATCATAAAGTAAATTATATGTTCATAATAAGTTGTACCTAATACATTTCATGCATAACCAAAAAAATCCCATGCAAAATCATTTTGTTTTTATTTATGAGATTGGAATCCAGAGCCTGGTGATAATGTGGAGCTTCGAAACCAGAACCCCATATAGGCACTGCAAAGTCACAAGCCTGAGCTTCCTAATTTACAAAAATGGTGAAACAGTGACCTTAGCTAACAGAAACTCTTTCGGATGCACTTGCTATAATTCACACAAACACTGCCCAACTCTCCCAGTTTCAGACATTCAATGGGATAGAGAACTGATTCATCCTCTCCTTTATGATCTCTCTGCCAAGGCCAGCAACTATACTTGGGAAATGAGGCCCCTGTCATCCCACAGTCTAGTGGCATAATATGTTGGTTAGAATTTTTGTCAACTTGAAACCAGCTAGAGTTTTCTGAGAGGAGGAGGGTACAGCAGTTGAGAACATGTCTCCCTCAGAACAGATCAGTGGACACTTCTTTGTGGGATTTCTTGTTTAATGGTTGATGTGGGAAGACCCAGATCATGGTGGGTGATGCCACTTCTGGGCAGATGACAATCTGTGGTATAAGAAAGCTGGCTGAGAAATCCAGAGAGAACAAGCCAGTAAGCACAATTCTTCCATGGTCTCTGCTTCAGTTTCTGCCTCCAGATTCCATCTTTGAATTCCTACCTCAATGACAGACTGTGACATTGAAGTAAAAGCCAACTAAGCCCTTTCTAGTGTTTTATCACAGCAAATGTTGCTACACAGATGCCGGTCAACTGAAGAATGGAGAGAGAAAATGTGGTACATTTACACAATGGAGTATTACTCAGTGGAGAAAAAGAATAGAATCTTGAAATTCACAGGCAAATGGATGGAACTAGAAGAAACCATTCTGAGTGAGGTAACCCAGTCACAAAAAGACAAACATGGTATGTAGTCACTAATATATGGATTTTAGACATATATTATACAATCCACACTGCCAGAGAAGCTAGGAATGAGGATGCTAAGAGAGACATACATGGTCCCCTGGAGAAGGGGCAAGGGGCAAGGTCTTCAGAGCAAATTGGGAGCATGGAGGGAGGGGAGAAGGAGCTAGGAGAATTAGAAGGGTGGAAGAGGAGGGGTGAGGAGGACATGAGGGAACAGGAAGGTTGAGTTGGGGGAAGAATAGAAGAAAGCAAGATAAGAGATACTGTAATAGAGGGAGCCATTATAAGCTTAAAAAGAAATCAGGCACTAGGAAAATGTCTGGATATCTACAAAAATGACACCAACTAACATTCTAAGCAACAAAGGAGAGGCAACCTTAAATTCACTCCCCTGATAATGAGATTGATAACTAACTTATATACCATCCTGTAGCCTTCATCCAGCAGCTGGTAGAAGTAGAAGCAGACACCCACAGCTAAACACTGAAGTGAACAGGAATCAAGTTGCATAGAAGGAGGAATTATGAGCAAATGGGTCCATTCCAGGCTGGTGAAACCCACAGAAACAGCTGACCTGAACAAGGGGGAGCTCTTGGTTCCCAGACTGATAGCTGGGAAATCAGCATGGGACTGATCTAGACCCCATGAACATGAGTGCCAGTGAGGAGAGCTCAGAAATCTACAGGACCCGTAATAGTAGTAGTTCTGTACTTATCCCTAGCATAGGAATGGAATTTTGGAGCCCATTCCACATAGAGGGATGCTAATGGAGCCTAGACACATGGGGGTAGGCCTAGGCCCTATCCCAAAGGACATGACAGACTATGAAGACCCCCTATGGGAGTCCTCACCCTCCCTGGAGAGCAGAAAGGGTATGGGATAGGTAGGGTGTTAGTTGTGGGGGGGAAGGGAAAGAGAGGAGGGGAGGGAGAGGGAACTGGGATTGACATGTAAAACAATCTTGTTTCTAATTCAAATAAAAAATGGAGAAAAATAAAAAAATAACTTTCTGAAGATGAAAGAGACTCTCAAAGAAGAGATGGGAAAAATCCCTTAAATAAATGGAAGAAAAAACAAACTAAAATGCAACAAATAGGGGAAAAGACAAACAAAAAATGCAAGAAATAAACAAATCACTTAAAGCAAGGAAAGCTAAGAAAAAAACAATCAAACAAGTGAAGGAAGCAATTCATATAGTTCAAGACTTGAAAACTGAAATAGAGACAATGAAGAAAACACAGACTGGGGGAATTCTGGAAATAGAAAATGTGGATAAACAATCAAGAACTACAGTTGCAAGCATAACATGCTGGAAATAGAAAATGTGGGTAAACGATCAGGAACTACAGATGCAAGCAAAACCAACAGAATACAAGAGATGGAAGACAGAATCTCAAATGCTGAAGGTAAACTAGAGGAAATAGAGTCATCAATCAAAGAAATTCTTAAGTCCAAGAAACCCTTAACACAAAATATCCATGAAATATAGGACATTGTGAAAAGACCAAACCTAAGTGTAACAATAACTCTTCCGCCAGCCACCTGAGTTCTGCTGCCACATTGGGGCACCCAAATAACACACAGAGTCTTATGTTAGTTAAAATACTGCTGGCCAATGACTAGGATTTCTTATTTTATTTTCTAGCTCTGTCTTAAGTTTCAACCATAACCATTAATCTATATATTTTATAAAGACTTATCTTATTGAGGATGCCAGCAGCATGTGTCCTCTCTTCCTGGGATCACATGGCAACTCTGTCCATTTCCTACATTTCCCAGAATCCTTCCTATTTCCTAGTCCCACCTAACTTGCTTCCCCATTGGCCAACAGGGCTTTATCAACCAATAAAACAAACATATACAAAGATGGACCTCACCACCACCAAAGGATAGTAGATATAGAAGAAGGTGAAGAAGCCCAGCTCAAAGATGCAAAAAACATATTCAACAAAATCATAGAAGAAAATTTTCCCAACCTAAAGAAGGACACACCTATGAAAGTACAAGAAGCTTACTGAACATCAAATAGACTGGACCAAAAAAAAAGTCCCCTTGCCACATAATAATTAAAACAACAAACATATGGGATAAAGAAAGAATATTAAGAGCAGAGAAGGAAAAAGGCCAACTATCATATAAAGGCAGACCAATCAGAATTATTCTCTAATTCTCCATGGAAACTCTGAAAGCCAGAAGGTCCTGGATAGATGTTCGACACACACAAAGACCCCACAAATTCCTGCCCAGACTACTATAACTAGCAAAGCTCTCAATCACTATAGAGGAAGAAAACATGATATTCTAGGACAAAACCAGATTTACACAATACATATCCATAAATCCAGCCCTACAGAAACTTCTGGAAGGAAAACTCCAACCCAAAGAAATTAACTATACTCACAAAAACATAGGAAATAGATAATCTCACTTTACCAAAATTCATAAATAGGGGGAAAACTCACACAAAATACCTCCACCAAAAATGGATACAAAACAAACAAGAGTCAACAATCAATGGTCATTAATATCCCTCAATATCAATGGTATTAACTCACCAATAAAAAGACTCAGGCTAACAGAATGGATCTGAAGACAGAATCCATCCTTCTGCTGCATACAAGAAATACACCTCACTTCAAAGATAGATGCTACCTCAGAATTAAGGGTTGGGAAGAGATTTTCCAATCAAATGGACCTAGGAAGCAAGCAGGTGTAGCTATCCTAATATCTAACAAATTAGACTTCAAACTAAAATTAATCTCTTGGGCATATACCAAAAGAATGTACATTCATAAAATAAGGACATATATTCAACTACGTTCATAGCAGCATTATTTGTAATAGGCAGAACCTGGAAGCTACCTAGATGCCCCTCAACTGAAGAATGGATATAGAAAATGAGATGCATTTACACAATGGTGTACTACTAAGCAGAAAAAAATGGAATCTTGATATTTGCAGGCAAATGGATAGAACTAGAAGAAACCATCCTGAGTGAGGTAACCCAGTCACAAAACGAGAAACATGGTATGTAGTCACTCCTATATGAATTTTAGACATAGAGCAAAGGATTACTAGCCTACAATCCATCCTGTCAGAGGAGCTATGAAACAAGGAGGACTCCAAGAGAAGATTGCATAGTTCCTCGAAGAAGGGGAGGGGGCAAGAAACCCTCAGCAAATTGGGAGCATGGGTGGGGGGAGAGAGGATGAAGGTGGGAAGGGGAGAAGCAGAGTAGGGGGAGGAGAACAAGAGTACTGAGACAGAGGAGGAACAGAGGAGGTCAAGAAAGGAGATGCCTTTGACAAAACCCAACATCCCCTAATGATAAAGATCTTGGAGAGAATAGGAATAACAGGAACATATCTAAACATGGAGATGCCTTTGACAAAACCCAACATCCCCTCATGATAAAGATCTTGGAGAGAATAGGAATAACAGGAACATATCTAAACATGATAAAAGCAATATACACCAAACCAACAGCCAACATCAAACTAAATGAAGAGAAACTCAAAGCGATTCCTCCGAAATCAGGAACAAGACAAGGTTGTCCACTTTCTCCCTTTCTCTTCAATATTGTACTTGAAGTTCTAGCTAGAGCAATAAGACAACAAAAGGAGAACAAGGGGTACAAACTGGAAAGGAAGAAGTCAAACTTTAACTATTTGCAGATAATATGATAGTTTACATAAATGAGTCCTGTTAGGGAACTGTGTTGTAGACCTGAAAATAAAAATGGCACCAATAATGAAAATCTGAATTGAGGGAATTCATAAATGAAAAATTTAGGAATTTGAGCAGTAACTACAGAGGCAAGCTTCACCAATAGCAACCAAAATATGGCAAGAGAGAACCTCAGACATTGAAGATATATGCAGTGGTT